TGCCTTGCTCCCACAGGCCATCCCAGATGCACCTCCCCCTTCCCCAGAGAGTTTCCGGGAGGTAGAGATGGCTGCTGTGTGGTGAGATAAGGATCCCAAAAGGGGCACTTTTCAGTGGCCTGTACTATTCTGTTTAGTAGGTAATATCCAATAACTTCAAAAGAATCATTAAAGTTTTGTATCTCTACAATACAGCAAATATACATGAAATCACCTTAATGTTTGTTGTGAAGGAATATTTTGGTGGCCCTTAGCTGTGTTTCTGTGTCCAGGATGGGAAAGGTTGGGGAAAGGAGAATGTGTCCATGGTAGAACTTGACCTCAAAAGATCTTCACCATCCTCCCCCAAAATGCAAGTTTACACGTATGATGAAAAAACCTCTTCACGAAACACCTCCACCTGCCAAATCCTCATTCCCATTGAATGAGTGTTCAGACACTGAGCTATAACTGACACCCTGTGAAACCATTTTACAAGGAATTCCTGCCTTGCCATGAAATCTGTTCATTCCATCTTGATTGGTCTAGTGAATGATTTCACCGGGATTACGTGTTTATACATGGCTTGTGTTAGTGACCACGGCATGTATATACAGGTACATGTGCATTGAGGCCTTCACAGCTACAGATGACTAACACCATATGACTGTAACTCATACTGCAAAAGTAACCAAATCTGAATGCGCTTGTTTATGCATTGCAGAGAATAATGAAAATCCATGTGCATACCTGCGTATGTGCATGTGGTAGCTAGAGGTCAGGAATCTACGAGACAGGGAAGGTGTGCTCAAATAATACCACTGAATAAGTGTTGTTCACACTCCCTCAAGCGGACTGCAGCACAGATTGTTTTGCTACTGTTTATTAGCCAGAGGTGTTAAACCGTGGTCAGTATGGATAGAGAGAAGAGGGACTTGTGTGTTAGGCATTAACAGTTGACTTTATCTGCAAGAATTCTGTGTAGTGAATTCCTTCCTATAGTAAAGTAATAATCCTTGAATACAAAGGTGATTCATTCCTAACTAATTCAACGAGTCGTCTTCCTTGGCCTCTGAGTGCTTGTTTCTCGTCAGTAGGGAAGACAGTATATTTTAGCTCCTTGGCTTGTGGTTTGTATGTGTGTGTTTGTGTTTATATGCATGACTGAGTATGTCAAGGTAGCGTGAAATGCAGGAGTGTCTGATGAATAAGACAGGGCTGCCTTTTGGACAAGTCTGAGAAAATGACATCATCTCTGCACTCTTCCCTTTTGAATCAATCATTACCTTGGGATCCATATTGTCTCCTCTTGTCTGCGCACTCAGCCTAGAAAGAATGGTATGTGTTCAGCTGGTTTTGGGGTACGATTACTCAAAAAGTGTCACTGCGTGGTTCTTCATTGAAATTTGTTGATATGTCCCGACCAACGATTATAAGATCTTGATAAAAGACACAGAATTGTGCAAGAATATGGTTGCAGCCACACAAGGCTTGTAAGACTCGTTCATCAAACTAGGATGAATCACTAGGGTTTAATTATCCGTCTGCCATCAGTCATCAGTCTTGGAGAAGTCTTTGTTGTTGAGTAGCCACCCTACGGGGCTGCTGGTGGTCAACGTTGCAGAATTGGTATGTGTCACAGGGTGGAGTAACTGACTGAGGATGCACGTTGCAGAGGGTCTGATTACGGTGATAGATAGATAGGTCTAGAGAAGAGACGCCGGGAGATGTAGCGGTCAGTACAGAGACCAGCAGGGTGTGTGTTGCCATGAACAGTTTTTGTTCAAAGGTATCTTCCAGTTCAATAAGGATTTACGAAATAAAACTATCAAAATAAAAAAAAAAAAGCCTGCACCCATCGGCGACTTACTCTGTTCAAGAATTACGTGCAATTAAACAGGGAAGGCATGGTTCTGGGCTCTTCCTTACAGAGACTTCACACACACAGACATTATTTTACCGCACCCCTATTAACTGGGTATCGAAACTTTTAAATAAACCGTGGCAGACGTAGCCCCAACCAAATCTTTTATGCCAGGGGTATCTCTGGGCAATTCTCTCAAAACATACCCCCTACTACTGGCAAACCCCTGTCCTTGATTTTCATCATGGGTTTTACCCAATTCTGCAGTCTGGAATATACAATTAGCTAACGGCTAATTAAGCAATCAAGTGTCACATATTGGGAAACTTTAAGCTAGTGTCACGCATTGAGTTGATTACCTTGTGTCCTTTGCTTTCTTGCAAATCATGTACTTAATATGGCCACTCAGTTCCAGTGTGTCATTTTAAGACGGGCCATTTCTTTGGAGAGTGCCCTGACCAACTTGCTTGCTAGGTATACTTGACCAAACTGGATTTTACGGACATGGTGACCAGGCCTGGCATTTAACAGAGAGCGAGAGGTTGGTAGAGCATGTCTTGCCTTGCCCTTGTGAAATAATGCTGACATTATAAGAAAAAAAAAAAACAACCATAAATCTGTTTTACTGGTCCCTCACCCTTCCCCGTCTTCCTTCCCTGTTGCATATGCTGTTAATTACATCTGCTTTGAAATTACATCATTGCCTGGTTGTGTTGTTTTTCATTTAAAAAAAAAAAAACCTTTTTTTAACGTTTTTGTACATGTTTGGGCTGCTCAGAGTTCCCATGGAAACTATGATGTCATGGCTATGCAAGTTTGCTTTCTGGATAATCACAGCAATAGTGGGACCCAGAACGACACTGACATTTTTCTGGCACGTGGCAGAATGAAAGCAAAGGGGTACAAATGAATCGCATGGCTGTCATTTAGTCAGAGAATTTATTTAGCCTGAAACATGGTTGTTTTCACTGAACTCGGTCCGAGCCAAAACCTTTGCAAATTGTTTAAATCATGTGGCAAGTCAGTTTTTTTTTTTTTTTTGACGAATGCAATTGAGGAAATGTGTATGGGAAGTTTAATTGTAAGTTGCTGTGATGTGACGTCTTGTTCAGTTTATTTTTATAGAGCGTCCTTCCAAACTTAGTTGCCCCAAAGCTATCTCTGTCGCCTTCCACCAAAGGTCACAGTAGCCTGTGACAGCTGCTGTGGAGGCGAGGATAAAAATGGAGGCAGAGAAGGTCTGCAAGAAGCAAAATATGGAACCCAAAGAGAGAACAGCGTGAATGACAACGAACGGGTCACCCCAGACAAACACCCCCTTGACTGTTTGCATTTCAGTGACATGAGACTGTCATGAAGGAGCAACACAAATGCTGCTCGTCTGTCCCTGTCACGTTGACGTCAGATGTTCTGAAGACGTACGGTAACAGCATGGGCCCTGTGCTGCTTGGCATCTGTTTAATTTTTGCCACTAGCTGTGCAGTCATTTCTGGGGCGGCCATATTCCCTGATGTCTGACTGTGTGTAAGCCGTTCCTCCATCACTTTTCGCGGTTTCGCCTTCCCACTAGCGGCAATTCCTAACCGCTCAGTCTCCACGGGGATCATTCCTCCTTGCAAGATCCATTTAGATTTCATCTACTTTTCTACCCAGAATGTATTGCGGTCTTCGTCTTGTATCACATGGACGGAAGACCGCACAGGGGACACAGCGTGACAGTGAGTATCGGCATAGTGACAAAAACCACAAGCAAGTGTTTGCTCTTTAGCAGAACTTCTCCTGAACAATTTATCACCCATGTTACCGGGGTCAGAATGTCAAACTGAGTTCCTCTGCAAAGACATATACGCCCCTGAACTCGAAAGGCTTACATTCATCTGAAGTGTTTTTTTTTTTGTCTTCCATGAAGAAAGGCATTGCATGGTGGGTATCTATTCCAAGCAAATTCCATGGCTCTTTATTTTAAGCGTTCATTAAGTACGTTTTCTAAGTAAAAGCTCAAGGGTCTGTCTTGATTAAAACAGTAGTATCCCCTCTTGGCTTATTTACCCAGCTAATTTACCCAGATTATAAAATACCGAAAGATGGATATAACATAAAGATTAATTGGCTCACAGCCCTCATATTTTGCTTATGAGAAGTCTTTAGAATTTCATTGCTCAGTTATATCAGTGGAAATAGTTTCAACATGTTTCTGCGGTCTTGGGAACGTCACAACTTTATCTCCACTCTTGTATCTGAGAACATCTTGAAATTAGATTACTGTAATCTCTCAGAATTCCTCATCTTCCAATCTCCACTGATCATTGATCTCAGACTAAATTTGTTTCCCTGTAAATGATTTAGAATGTTTTATGTTATTTGCCTTTTTATTTCCCATATGAGTGCAGGTACACCGGAATGCTTCTTTTCACATATCCCATCATGCTCTCCCGTGAGACATATACAGACACATACATCCATTAAAGCCATTAAAGTAGGAAGCAAAAACAGAAATACACATCAGAAAGTAAATCTGTGAATAACATAAGAATAACATTTTTCTGGCAGCCCTAAGGCTTAAAATATGCCCAAAATGGTGGCAGACCAACCCTGAACTATTTTGTGCTAAAAATCCCCCACTCAGGTGTGGCTGTTTGTGCAGTGCAAGGGGGTGGCCGCCCAAAACAGTCAACCCTACTGCTTTAATTTCTCCCCCTTCCCCTCTCCTCTGCCCCCTGCTGCCTGCTGTTAGCAAGGGTGCCATTACACACAGGCACGCCAAGATTTCTAGTGTGGTGTCTCTCTAATCCCTGTCCATCTTGGCTTCCTGTTTCTTGGGTTCTCGGTAGATAGGCAGGGAAAAAAACCCATCGTGACAGATTGTCTGCATGTGAGTTTGAGAAAACAGCTATCAGACTGTATAAATTATGCGGCTTACTCGTTTATTGCTGATTTCCCGTCGTGTCGTCTGGTTATAAGCTTGCGTAGTTACATAAACAGACATACAAAGCCAACAAATCAATTTGCATTAAATCCATCTGAAGTGAAGGGGACTGTCAGGACAGCGTGCCGTAAAAGTTTGGCAAGCGCAATGACGTAGAAACACCCCTAAAGGGATAGGGGGGGTCGGGGGTGACGGGGGGGGGGGAGGGATCGCTGTTTGAAGGAGGACTCTCACCAGCTGCTAAGAGAGGGCTGCGATGCAATAAAATTTGGCCCTCCCCCTGCTCCAGCTCCCTCCCCCAGCCAGAGAGAGAGAGAGAGAGAGAGAGAATGAGATAAGCCTACATGTCAGGGTGAGCAGACACTCTCAGGCACAGCGGAACCGGAGCTTTGCACTGGTGAAGGTGAACTGTACTGGAGGTCAGTGGACTTACTGGGCTCACAGGTTGTAGTGCAGGACTTCTACTGGGAACAGATGGACTGAGCTTGCTGGTGACTTCTCATACTTTTTTGGGTTTGCCTAAAGAATGCTCACCTTTGTCTTCAAGAGATACCCGATGATACTTTGTGCATGTGTATGTGTGTTTTTTTTGTTTGATGATCTTCACTGAGGTGGAACATGCGCACGGCCGATGGCTGACCCCGAGGCAGGCTCCAGAGCACACAGCGAGGGACTCCAGTAAACTCTCAGTGGGACAGTAAAGGGCCAAAGGCTCATGAGTGCACCGCTTCCTTGCTCTCTGTTGTGAGCTGTCATCCTGTCCTGAAAGGACACCAGATTCCAAGGCCATTTCGTTTTGAGGTGAGAGGACGATAAGGTGGGATCACTGGGTACAGGCAGCGGAGGAGACGAGTGTCTACCGGAGTAAACGCCGTGATGGATTCTGGACAAATGGCGGCCGTCGGGGAGAGCCCCCTGGAGGGGGAGACGGTGTGTGCCGCTCTGGCCCGCTACGAGGCCACGCTGCAGGCCGCAGTTCGCGAGCTTCACGCCGACGTGGGAGCCTTCAAGGTGGGTGTGGAGCGACGCCTGGAAGAGGCCGACCGGCTAACGGGGCCCCTGGGCCGCGCCGTGGCCCAACTGCAGCTGGAGAACCGGCAGCTCCGTGGTCAGCTGGAGGTGCTGACGCGCCGCGTGGAGGAGCTGACGGGGACCGTGTGTGACCGGAGCGCCCTGCTGGAATGCAGTGCCGCCCGTGATACGGCCCGCCCCCACGCTTGTGTGGAGGGCTCCCCCCAGCCCGTGGGTCATCGGTCCCCAGCATCCCCCTCTGCTGTGATTCCCCCTTCTGTGGACTCCGCCCCCAGCCCCGGTTCCGGTCCTGCTCACGGTCCGACAGCAACTCGATTCTCCAGCCGGGCCACGTTCGCCGTGTTCAACAAGTCTAATGTAAGTATAATGCGGGGTCCCGGGGGGGCCGATACGCTGTAGTACACATTTGTTTATCTGAGTGCAAATTGCCCGAACTCACAAATTGAAGGACCACATCTGAAAGCAATCTCAGACAACGTGAGTCGAATCCTTCTGTGCGTTTTCCAGCTGTGCGTCTCCATGCTTCATGACCATGCTGCTGGACCATCTCCACGCCACAGTGTACTTTCTGTTGAGGTTTTCAGCACTCGAAAAAGCTCCTGAGCCTTGCTTAATGTGGGGGGTGGGGGGGGGGCAGTCCTGACTCCTTAATCTCTGGTCAAAGATTATGAGGCCCCTGCTAAGCTTTTTTGAAGTGATGTCGCTATTACTTATTACTGTGGTTTATTTGGAGCAAAGGACTTCAAAGGAATATAATTGATATGTATATTCTGTATTGGGCATGAGTTAATATAGAATACGTATCAATTAAAAATCTATGATTTACAGAGGTCATACAGAGTACAGATCAACCTTGTTTTTACTCTCTGGCTCTTGGTTTTCTTCCTCATTCAGCTGGTGAGTTTTTTTCCTCTGTAGAAAGAAGTAAACTCAGTTTCCAGAGCGTTTCAAGTTTTATTTGGCACATACAGAATTGCGAAGTAAAATGCTTTGGTGCGTGATTCCAGACTGTGACCAGGAGACGTAAGCATAAAGAGATAAGACATAGGATATTAGACCATAAACAATAATCATAATCACAAACAATAATCATAATCACAAACAAAAATCATAATCACAAACAATAACCATAAATATCCATAGTGTACACCTTAAGCATGGGTTTAGCGAGTGCTCTTTCTTTTCCTTTCTCCCTGAAAGATAGAGGTCAGTTATTCTGCTTGACATGGCACGCGAAAGGATCTTTGAGGGTCCTATAACCGAACTTACAACAGGAGCCGAACTGGACAGAACAAGTGTTGCTTGTTCATCAGCCCATTTGTGTGAGCGGGTTTGTGTGGAGATTCAGCTACTGGTAATTGAGCAGGAAACCATGAAGTGTAATGCAGCGTTGTCAAATTTGGGCAGCCCCCTCACTCCCTAGTTCAGTCCACATCCTGCTCCCCTTTGTTTATTAAGCGAGACAACTCATTACCAAGTGGCATGGCTCGTTCCACTGTCATTTCATTCACGGTGATGCTGACTGTATACTAAAAGAGTGCAGTCGAGGTTTGATCCAAACCTCTTCTTCACTTAGCCAGAAATATTTTTTCTGATTAGGAAAGTATCAGCTTACTCTGAGTGTTGTTCATTACAATCCCTGATACTGTTTTATGGTCTAGTATTCACTCATTAGTACTTTTAGTTTTATGGAGGTAGTATCAGAGGTCATTAAGACCAAGAAATGTATTGTGTTTCAAGTGAAGTGGGCTGTATTATCTTACCATCCCTATTTGGGTGTAATGTGGCATGAAATAACGTTCCCCTGGGACCGTGGTACCACAAACAGACGGCAGTAACAAGCAGCAAGTAACAGAGAATGATCTTCACAGGACTTAAAGTGCAAAACGGGGAGAGGGCTGGTCACAAGGGCTTATCTACATAGTACAATGTGTATGTAAACAATAAACACAGCGGCGTAAAAAGGGCAGATAAATATCGCGGAGCTGCTTATGGCTAAATATGGGATTTTTTGAAGATGCCGCCCTCAGTCCATTATGATTTGCTGAGCTTTCGGCTCTGTCTTAACTCCCTTCTGTGAAGCTAAGATGCTGTGCTTTTCTCACGCCTGCCCTGAGACTCCAACAGGGCTGATTACCTGTTACATGCGTGGGTTGTGGGGGGGGGGGTCACCTGTGTGGCACATGTCGATTCAAATTCCTCTACATTATCTGGCCCATCACCTGTGACTCTCTCCATGTATTTGATGATGTCTACAATTGTACAGTAGTACAGTGTAAATCTTCCCCGCCCCCCCTCCCCATGGGGAACATTTCAGTGTGTTGGAGGGGGGCTGCAGCTGCGTTTCACATCTGGATAATGACAGGGAGGAAACGGGAATGTGTGTACGTGTTTGTGTAGGGGGCACGTGTGTATCAGCTAGCTTGGCAGATTTGCTCAAAGCGCAAATCCTCACTGGGAAAACTCTGGCTTGCATGTTCAGTGAGCGAGACGCCCAGTGGTGGGATTATCTCAATACACTATGCTCCTGTTGTCCAGTCATCTATCTCCCTGATTATAATGGTAATATTAAACAGCCAGGGAAATGGGGAAGAAAAATTACACCTATTTTCCATTTGCACAATTGCACTGGAACGCTATTCACGTATTCCATCATGCTTCCCTTTGAGACGTGCACACATATACATGCACAGTTAACAGCTAAGCTTGGGTCCAAACACCAGGTCAGCCATTTATCTGGCCCCTTTGGAGCATTTCAAGGAGTAATGAGCCTCACTGAAGGGTCCAACGGACACGTAACTAGTCTGCTGAGAACGGGATTAAAACCAACAACCTTCCAGTCACAGGCATGGAGGCCTAACCGATTGAGTCATACCCCAAAAACACAGGTGAAGTAGTATATGTATGACTACCAATGCAGTGAGTTTGTTATCCTTCAGAGTTGTTCCTAATGAAGTATGTGGTCTATACCGTTTTATTTCCTCCCCAGTTCACCATCCTTACAGACATTAGGTCATTTGTAATCTTATTCGTGTGCATTACTGCTTGTGGTCTGTTACCTCTCAACCCAGCCACAGCTGACATTCAATCTTTCAAGTTTCAAGTTTTATTTGTCACACAGATGATCATGCACTGTACCAGAGTTCAGTGAAATGCTTTTCCACCTGCTTCCTGGATTGTGCGTGATGTGCAAAGTAGAGTAAATTTAGTATTAAAATAAAAACCAAATAACAATGAATATAAAATGACTGCAAAATGGATAAAAAGAGCAGATATAGAGCAGTATATCAATAAGTGAAATGAAGTGCTGATCTTACAGTGATACAATTTCTGGCATCAGCCCATTAGACACCGTAGAATATTGGTGGCTGTTATTTGACCTTACTCACAGTGTTCAGTGCAGACCCACACCACAATCACCCAGCTAGTGGTCTTCAAGTCATCTGCTCCCATTTCCTCATGGATCCCATTCCAGTTCGTTTGGGTTTAGGATCCAAGGATTCGAAAACTTTATTTTCATTGGTACAAGCGCAAGTACAAAAGCGACAGGGACCCGGCCACACGGTGCTTGGCACGCCGAATGAAATACATGCTTGTGTACCTGTAATGATGAAGAACAATACATACCAATGACAGACTTGTGTACAGTAACATACGAAATATGAGGTATTATGTCCAATACATACAATATACAGTACTGTGCAGAAGTCTTATTGGATCCCAGATCTCACCTCAGACGCACCTCAGCCATTCCACGTGTCTTTTAAACTTCACCACCAACTGACTTAATTAATTTAATTAGTTATAAAAGTCAGTGAGGTATCGATTAGCTGAACGAGGTGTGCTAGTGTTCGAGTCAGAAAATACGTTGGTGCGTTGGATGGCCGCTGCAAATACTAGGGTGACTTTTGGGGAGGTTTTGAAATGGCTAAACTGACACACTTTGACAGGCATAATAACATAGTTTTACATCAACATAAAGATCATTAAAACATAATTTTCTTTGGCTGCCTCGGACTTTTTTGCACAGTGCTCAAGAAGTACAAGATATGGTTTCCGTATCAATGCAAGTAGGACAACAATGTGCTGAGGTTTTAAGTAGCCGTGATTAATAAATAGCAGTGGTGATTGGGATTATACTGCTTGTTACTGACATGTATATATGGGTTCATATGTGTCTTGTGTTTTGAGGCGTATAGACCCCTCCTCCATATATAACCAATGCAAGCTGTCTATTCCGAGTATTTCCTGCGACATCTGTGTGGCACGGCTGAGCAGCTCATGAAATCCGTGCACGCACCGAATAAATCTTAATGGTCAGTTAAATTACCGCAGAAGTCTGCATGTCTGCTTCTCTGTCTCCGCTGACATCATCCGCCATACTGTGTGGCCACTCGTAAGCCTCAGGTTACATCATGCATGGAGGGACACTTCCTGATTTGACCAAAGGATCCACAGAGACTTTTCACTTCTAATGCCTTAGGAATGCCTGGCCTGCTGCCATGTCTCTATGATTACATTAAATACTGCAAATTATGTTTATGGGACAGTTAAAAGGCTCACTTGAAAAAGCTGTAAGCGCACAAACCTGAACTCATCTCAAAAGTCTCTAAAATTATTATATTTTTTCGGTGGAGTGGCTATATCGCGCTCTCTATATTTCATGGATAGTTTCGTTTCGTACAGCTGATTGATTATGTGCCCCCCTGGTTTTCATTTTACTACCCATGGTTCCATTGGCTCCGTGCTGCCCTGCCTAGGGGCTTTTTAAAGGGCTTGTAAAAGCTCTTGAGGGGTAATGCTTGACACCCTCTTGGCCTGAAACGAACCCCCCGTGTTTTAATTGCATTCCAAAGTATGAAGGCAGCCGTGCCGTCGGCGTGCCCCGAAGCTATTCCGTGCCGTCCCTTACAGCGGGGACCCGTTCCCTTGTAAGACCTCAGGACATTGCCCAATGCTCCTTCCACACGGCAGGGTCATTCCAGAGGTGAACGACGTCACATGTCTGAACGTCAGTTCGATTCCTGGCGCAAGCTGTTTACAGTTCTGGGTCCTGGAGCAGACTGAGCATAAGATTACGAAAAACTGAACTCAACAGCATCTGTACAGAGGGTCAGTGTACATGCTTGTGGGAGTGTGTGTAGACATACATGCTGTGCGTTTTGCAATCTGAAGACAGGTTTGTTACTTGGGCACATTTGCTGGTCATAGCAGTAGGGGGTAAACTGCTTCAAAAAAAAAAAAAAGAAGCGGTTGACATTTCGAGTGAAGCCTCTGAACGCCTCCCACGCACCCCCATGCACAAAGCTGGCCCCCACCACAGCAGAACTGGAAGCCTAGTCTCCACCCTGATCCCG